TAAAGCTGTGCACCAAAACCAATCAGCATTGTTTTACAACAGGAACTTGAGTCTGTCACTTCTCTGGTTCAGCAGTTCCCACTAAACATAACCACCTTTCTCCTAGTACTTATTAAGATACTTAAATCTGTGGATATTCATACACCTCCTGTAAAATGGTGTAACATTTTTTTTGTTGTTTTGATCATGAGGATATTCATAGATATACATATCTCCAGTTTGCTAAGATTGTATATTATAAACATATTCACTACTATGTGTAGCAAGATTTGTCTGAAAATGTGAGGAAGGTTTTTAATAAGGAAAAAATTTTTGTCAGTTCTTTTCAATTTAAATTACTTGGACATTTTCAAGTAGACCAATACATACCAATTTACAATGGAGTACTGTCTGACAATTTTGTGTGTCAATGGTATAACATTAGCAACAACCTGCACATATCCTTTTGCTGTGAACCAGGAGTGGTGGTGCAAGGAGGTGCAAGCTGCAGCATCAGTTCAGGACAATTTCAGCTATGTATCAAATTCAAGGCTGGCCTGGACTACATCAAAGACTTTCAAAAGAGCAAACAGAGTCTAACACGGGGCCACTGACCCTAGAGGTAAAGGCCACTACTAATCAAGCTTGGAGACCTAAATTCAATCCTAGGAACCCAGATAAAGATGGAAGGCGATAAATATGCTGATTCTTTTGGGGGACCTGGCAATTTGGAACCTGAATACACAGGAAACTATATTTACTATATCCCCATAAAAACTTGTATATAGATGTTATTAGCACCATTACATATACTAATAATCAAATATCCATTTGTACATTGGTAATGGACAAAATATGACAGATTCATATTTAGTTTTATTCAGACACAAGGAGGACTGAAGTTCTGATAGAGGCTAAGGTATATAATGACATGTCAAGTGCAGAAAGCCACACCCAAAGGAGCACGCACATGGTACATGACTCCATGCCCATGAAATGTCCAGAGTAGACAAATGTATGGAGACAGAAAGCAGTTTATAGTTACAGGGGATGGGGAAGAGGCAGGGACTGGGAGTTATGGCTAGGAGGTATGAGGCTTTTTGAAGATGACTAGTGATCGTTGTATGGCTCTATGAATATACTAAAAACTATTAAAGCACATACTTCCACAGGTGAGCTGCATGGCATGTCACAGGATGAGCATTCTTAATGCCAGCACTGAGGAGGAAGAGGCAGGCTGATCTGAGTGCACAACCAACCTGGTCTGCCTAGTGAGTTCTAGGAGCCAGGGTTATATATTGAGACCTGGCTTTACAAAAATAACTAACCACTGGGCGTTGGTGGCACACGCCTTTAATCCCAGCACTGGGGAGGCAGAGGCAGGTGGATCTCTGTGAGTTCGAGATCAGCCTGGTCTACAAGAATTCCAGGACAGTCTCCAAAGCTCACAGAGAAACCCTGTCTCTAAAAACCTAAATAAATAAATAAATAAATAAATAACCCCAAATCCAAAAGTACATGATGCTCAGAAAGTTTCAGATAAGCAGGATGGCGCATGCTTATAATCCGAGCACTTTGGAGGCTGATGCAGAAGACCTGGGGTTCTAGGACAGAGCTGAGCTGTACAGCAAGACCCTGCCTGAAAAAAACAAGGGCTGGGTGTAGAGAGTGAATGTGCATTATTAACATGAACACAGTATTGAAAGCTTCCGTCTCAGGTTCCTAGGAATGGCAAAATCTGCCCCTAGTTTATTTTCTGATGTTGACAGTGTCTGTAGAAAGTAAAATGGCTAAATCTGCCTCCTCAACCGAGATATGTAAGTATGTACTGAGTGTAAGAGCTGCTGCTGGTGTGCCTCCCTCCATCAGAGGACACAGCCCACCCAACCCCAGCTTTTCTGTACAAGGACCTGTCCTTTCTTCACTCCTTTGTCACACCAGTTGGGGTCAAGTTCAAAGTGCTGCAGTTTCAACAACTGGAAATGTAGACTCAGTGATAGGGTGCTCATTTACCATGCATACAGCACTGGGTTCCTTTCCCAGTGCAGTAAAAAGCAAGAAAGCAAACAAGGCCCGGCGTTGGTGGCACTCGCCATTAATCCCAGCTTGGGAGGCAGAGGCAGGCAGATCTCTGTGAGTTCAAGACAAAGCCTGGTCTACAAAGAGAGTTCCAGGACAGGCTCCAAAGCAATAAACAAAAAACAAAACAAAACAAAAAAAGCAAACAAATGCAAGATCCCAAAACTAGAATGTAAGAGAAAATGTAAGTGACTTTGGTTTGGGTTTTTTAACAGTCTCACTATATAGGCCATGGTGGCCTCGAACTCAGGGAGATTCACCAACCTCTGCCTTCAGCTGGGATTAAAGACAAGTACCACCACACCTGGCTGTTGGCGTATGTTTTTTGGTCTTTGTTTTGGGATAGGTTTCCCTGTGTAGCCCTGGCTGTCCTGGGACTCACTTTTTTTTTTTTAAATAATTTACCTTTATTTTATGTGCATTGGTATGTATCAGGTCCTCTAAGAACTTGAGTTACAGACAGATGAGAGCTGCCATGTGGCTGCTGGGAATTGAACCCAGCTCCTCTGGAAGAGCAGCCAGTGCTCTTAACCTCTGAGCCATCTCTCCAGTCCCCAACTTACTTTTTTAAAAAAAGAATTTTATTTATTATGTATACAGTGTTCTGCCTGCATGTGTGCCTGCAGGCCAGTAGAGGGCACCTGATCTCATTACAGATGGTTGTGAGCCACCATGTGGTTGCTAGGAATTGAACTCAGGACCTCTGGAAGAACAGCCAGTGCTCTTAAACACTGAGTCATTTCACCAGCACCTGGAGCTCACTTTGTAGACCAGGCTGGCCTCAAATTCAGAGATGAGGCTGCCTCTGCCTCAAAGTGCTAGAATCAAAAACATTCACCACTATGCCCAGCTCGTTTTTTTTTTTGGAGGGGGGTGGCTTTTGATGCCATAAATAAAACATACACACAAATCCATGAAAGAACAGAGAAACTGGACTTCATTGAAATTAAAAACTAAAGCCATGTATAGTTTATAGCTGTTTTATCCATAACTCCTAAAACTTACAAGCAATCAAGATGTCCTTCAAAAGTGAAATGGATATATACTAGGGCATATCCACACAAAGGAGCTTACGGAGCACTAAAAACAAATGAGTTGTGATGCCACCAAAAGACAACGAGCTATCACAACTCCACACTGCTAGCCCCAAGAACCACAAGTGCTGGCTTGGTCATTGCTGCATGCACACTATCTAGACCCTCAATAAATATTTGGTGAATAAAAGTGCAAGGAAAAAACATCAGTCCAGAATCTAATCCATTATCAGTTTTTCAGGTCTATCTTCTCAAGTATTTCCAGCACCTGACACATCTCTCCTCTTCCACACCATCTTGCACTTGGATTATTCCCATTGCCTCCTTACTCCTGTCTTCCTTCACAGGGAGAGCCTTTTACTACTTTCTTTCAAAGACAATAAACTTCTATAAAGGGCTAGACTATAAACAAATTTTTTGAGACAGTCTCATGATGTAGCCCTGGCTGTCTTGGAACTCAGAGATCCACTGGCCTCTGTATCCCCAAAACTTTGTCATATAAGGCAGTCAAATGGTGTCTGTCCTCCTCTGGATGGAGCTCAGTTGGTAGAGTGATTGCTTAGCATGCACAAAGCCTGAGTTCAGCCCCATGCACTGTATAGACCAGGTGGGGCAGTATAAGCTATAATCCTAGTAGTTGGGAGACAGAGGGCAGGAGGGTCAGAAATTCAATTCAAAGTCATCCTAGATACATTGCCAATGAGGTCAGCCTGGGATATGTAAGACCCCACTGAAGGAAGGAAAGCAAAAAGAAGGAGAGATCTATTTGCGTCTCGTACTATCTCCCTCTTAACCTGTACTGTTCAGTAATCTCTGCTATCTAGTGGGATCTCCACATCCATAGACTCTCATCCATGGGTTCAAACCACAAGTTAAATTTAGAAGAGGTGCTGGGGATGTGGCACTTGCCTGCCCTTTGAAAAAATATTTATTTCGATTCTTACTGAGAAGAGTATGCATAACCAGTGTGTGGTGATGCACGCCTTTAATCCCAGCGCTTGGGAGGCAGAGGCAGGTGGATCTCTGAGTTCTAGATCAGCCTGGTCTACACCATGAGTTCCAGGCCAGCCAAGCCTACATAATGAGACTCTGCTTTGAGACACAGCTGGAGAGACAGCTCAGCAGTCAAGAGCACTTGTTGCTCCTGCAGAGAACCTTCACTAACAGCACCTACATGGCGGTTTACAACCACTGGAAACTCCAGTTCCAGAGGCTCTGACACCCTCTTCTGACCTGCACAGGCACTAGACTAGGCACGCACATGGTGTACATACACACATGCAAGTAAAACACTCACACACATTAAATAAACCTAAAAATATTAAAGTCTACACATGCAGGACAATGGCACGGTTCTGGAAACAGTCATTTTCCAGCTAAGCCTGAAGACCAGAGTTCCATCCCAGAAACACATGGTTCTGACTTCTATATGTTCGTTCTCTCTCTCTCTCTCTCTCTCTCACACACACACACACACACACAATGGTTTTCTTTTTAAATGGTACGGAGTTGGAGAGATGGTTCAGTGCTGCTCTTCCAAAGGTTCAAAGTTCAAATCCCAGCAACCACACGGTGGCTCAGACCCATCTGTAATGAGACCTGGCGCCCTCTTATGGCCTGCAGGTATTCGTGCAGACAGAACACTGTATACATAATAAATCTTTAAAAACAAAACAAAAAACCCGAAACGGTAGGAGATAACATGGGTTTAGACATGAGATGTCATGCGGGGTACGGAAAGGATCTAGGTTCGGGCGTGTGGGGACCCTGAAGCTAACCGTGGTGGCCGTCGAAGGGACGGCTCCGGGCACCTGGAAGGTGTTCTACCCCCCGGGGGTCAAGACCAGGGGCAGACCGGGTGGAATGAACCACACGAACGAGGGCGGCCCGGAGTCCGTCGCTCCTCACCTGGCGGCCACCGCCTCGTCCTCGTGGTTCTCGTTCTGCCGATGCTCCCCGCTCTCCACAGCGTCCTGGGGGTCCTGGTCCCTGAACTCCACGGGAAGCACGTCCACCTGCGAGCACAGCGGCTCCTGAGAGGCCTGCGTGCCTGGGACCCTCACGGGGGCGCGCCAGCGGGCAGGCCGCCGGGCAGACCCGGACAAGGGCTAGGCGAGGGCGGCGCGCCTCGGGAGGCCGGCCCGGTCTACACAGCGAGCCGCTTCGACGGCTCAGGTAGCGCACCACACCCCCCGCCTCTCCGCCTTCTCGTCAGGCCCCGGCCCTTCCGTTAGCAGGAAATCCCGCCGCGTCTGACAGGAGGCGGGGCCGACAGTGAGGGGCAGCCCCGGGCTCAGGCCTGAGGGGGATGTCGGGGTCCGGCCCGCCCCCGGCCCGCACAGGGGAAAAAACGCCTCACGTACTCCCTGGCGCTCCATCTCGTCTTTTCCCGCCTCGGCGCTCCCGCCCTCTGCGCACGCCCCGCGCTCCCGCCCTCTGCGCATGCCCCGCCCCGCGCACGTGCCGAGGCGCCATGGCCCCACCCCTCCCGGCCCCGCCCCGCCCCGCCCCGCGAGGCCCTGTGAGCCCTTGGGCGCCGGTTGTGCTGAGCCGGTGTTGCGGGCACGAGCAGCCACCGCGTGTTTGTCTGTGTGCCGTAGGACTAGGTGTGTGTGTCTAAGGTTATAGAGAGCGTGTGCGGGATGCGGGGTCATCTGTGGCACTCACATTACACGGAGTTTGATGAATTCATACTGTGCGTCGGAATTCCACCGCTCCGCTCTACAGTTTTTCCCCAAATTCTTTTGAAACAGGGTCCTGCTATGTCCTGGCCTAGGATTCTTAGCAAACCAGGCTGGCCCTGAACTCACAGAGAACAGCATACGTCTACCTCCAGAGTGCTAGAATTATAGGCAGGTACCCCCACGGCTAGTGATAGATAACCTGCAATATTTATTTTGTTTTTTTCGAGAGAGGGTTTCTCTGTGTAACAGCCATAGCTATCCTGGAACTCGCTTTGTAAATTAGGCTGAACTTGAACTCAGAGATCTGCCTGCCTCTCTGCCTTTGGGAGTAAAAGCCATGCATCACCACACCAGGCTCTAATTTTTATTTACGTTTGTAAACTACTTTTGGGCACCTGCCAACTAAGGCCAGAAGAGGGTGTCAGATTCCCTGGTTATGAGCCTTTTGGCACGGGTGTTGGGAACTGAATTCCTGTTGGGTCCCAGCCCCCACAGGGTCTCTGTGAGTCTCTGGTCAGCCAACAAGTGCATCCTGTTTTCCAGTCCAAGTCCATCCTGTTTTCTAGTCCTGGCTTACTACCCCGGCCTTGCCCCACTGACATCAACATCCAGCAGGAGGAAAACACAGTCTCTTCCACCTGGGGTTTTTCCACTGTGCTGTAAGCCTGTATATAAGGCCACTCCCTCCCACAAGAGAGACACCTTTTAGCATTTGCAATAAAGACACACGCATCCTCTTAGCACAAACAGCTAAACTTCTTGTCTTTCATTTCCTGACACCTCACACTTGCTCATGGTGCCCACCAAGATTTGGAGAGACTTGGAAAGACTGGGAAAGAGCGGGAAAGAAAGGAGATTGGAAAAGAAGACTTGGGAGAGGAGAGACTCAGGAAAGAAAGGAATTGTAAACAGGTACCTCAACATTGAACAGTAAAATTGAATGGTTAAATCTCCAGGTTTTTGCCTGATCCACTGAGATCGGGAAAGAAAAGGGGAACCTGAGAGATCACCCTCAAAGGCTGGCAGGTTATGAGGGTGTATTGGAAAGGGGTACCAAGTTAGGGGTACCAGGTTAAATCTCCAGGCTTTTGCCCTACACCAAGGTAGGGAATGTTAGCATTTTGTTCAGATGGGGATGGGGATGGGTCAGGTATTCTGGCACTCGGGAGTCACAGAATACTCAGTGTTACACAGCTCAGGTGGAAAGGTATTCTGGCACTAGGGAGTCACAGAATACTGAGTGTTACACAGCTCAGATGGAAAGGTATCCTGGAGCTCGGAAGCCAAGGACCATCACAGGTTGCAGTAAACTTAGCAGCTTACAGCCTTGCCTCAGAGAAAGGCTTCCCCAGTGTATCGGCTCTGCTCCGGCAGGACAGGGTCTTCCAGCTAGGGAATGTTCACCCAGTTTTGCTCAGCAGGCGTTTCTCAGGCAAAGTTGCTACAGTTCAGCTCTGCTCCCAGGGAGTGGAGAGCAGGAGCAGAGTGGAGTGTAACAACTCTGCTCTGCCAAGGGAAGGTTTCCCAGCAAGTGTTACAGCCCTGCTCTGGTTTCAGAGCCAAAGTGTGTTTCTTTCTCTGGTTCTTTTTAGCCTTTTTGCTCCAATTTTAGGGCCAGGGTGCGTTTCTTTCACTGACTCTGATTCCAGGGACAAAGTATGTTCCTTTGGCACTGGTTTCAGGGTCAGGGTGCATTTCTTTGGTTCTGGTTGCAGGGCCAAAGTGTGTTTCTTTGGCTCTGCTCAGGGTGTGTTTCTTTGACTGGTTCCTTTTCCCTACAGGGAAAGAGAAGGGAACCTGACAGATCACCCTCAGAGGCTGACCAGCAAGTAAGGATTTGTGAGGATGGATTTGGAAAATGAGTACCTCAGCTTCTAAGGCTGTATTGATAGAACAGTTAGTAGAATTGTTAAAGAGACAAGGTACCAGCATTGAGCAAAAGACAGTTTTATCCTTCCCTCGCCTTTGCTGGCTGTCCGGATGATGACTGATTCCCTCCCCCTCGAGCTGCACACCGGCAGCTGGCTGACCCAGCAGCCCACGTCCTTGTCTGAGCAAGCCGGCAGTAGTTTCCAGTCAACCAGCGACATGAGTGGCAGCAACGAGGTGGTGTACGCCGGCTGGCTGAAGAAATCGCCTCCCGAGAAGAAGTTGAAGTGCTATGCCTGGAAGAAACGCTGGTTTATCCTGCGGAGTGGCCGGATGAATGGCGACCCATATGTTCTAGAATACTACAAGAATAAACACTCCAAGAAACCCCTGCGGATCATCAACCTAAACCTCTGTGAGCAGGTAGACACAGGTCTGACCTTCAACAAGAAAGAGCTTCAAGGTAGTTTTGTGTTTGATATCAAGACCAGTGAGCGCACCTTTTACCTGGTGGCTGAGACGGAGGCTGACATGAATAAGTGGGTCCAGAGCATCTGCCAGGTCTGCGGCTTCAAGCAGGCTAAGGAGGGCACAGCCTCCCTGAGAAGCCTTTCTTCAGTCACTCATGGTCCCCGCTCTTCTCCAGCTGAGTTCCGCAGCTCCACTCAACACCTACTCCGGGAAAGGAAGTCCTCAGCCCCTTCACACTCTGGCCAGCCCACCTTTGAGCCCCCTGTGTCAAGCCACATCCGGCCTGCCCTGTTCACCAGCACACCTCAGGAGTATCTCTACTTACACCAGTGCGCAAGCCAAAAGACAAAAAATGTGAGAAATGCCAGCTTCTCTCAGGGTACGCAACAAAAGAGTAATACAGCCATACGAAAGCTTGCCCAGGGCAGTGGACACTGTATCAACGGAGTCAGCGGGCAAGTCTATGGCTTCTATAGCCTTCCCAAGCCAAGCCAGCACAATACAAAAGTCAAGGACAGTACTTACGACCTCCCCCGTAGCCTGGCTTCACATAGCCACACCAAGGGCCGCCTCACAGGGTCTGAGACAGACAATGAGGATGCGTACACCTTCAAGACATCCGGCAACACCCTGTGTCGGGAGTTTGGGAATCTCCTAGTGGACAATATGGAGGTTCCAACCACCCCGCTCTCAGCCTACGAGTTCTCTAGAACATTCACACTGGACACAACAGCCACTCCTAGAGTCTCAGCCACAGCTCCCCAACCCCAGCCTCCCAAGCCAAGTCAGGCAAGTCAGACAAAAACACGTCGGTGGGGCAGCCCTCAGCAAAGACCCCCAGTCAGCGAAAATAACAGCTCTGCAGCTGCTGCTATCCCCAGGCACAAAACCCTCCCTGCAATGGACAACATGCGACTCCACCGAGCCTCTTCCTGTGAGACTTACAAGTACCCAACACGAGGCAGAGAGAATGACAGCTGGTCTGCTGAATCTCCAGGGAAAACGATCGTAGGTCATTCAGACAGCGCCAGCTCTGGTGACAACTATGTGCCCATGAGCCCCGGGCCCCATCACTTTGGCCCTCCAGGCGACCCATCCACAGCCCTTCCTATTCATAGATGCCCCAACCCAGGAAGTGAGATCCAGCCACCCCTGGTCAATCGCAACCTCAAGCCTGACGGGAAAACAAAACCAACACCCTTTGACCTGAGAAACAACGCTGTCATCGACGAGCTCCCTTTCAAGTCACCTGTCACCAAGTCTTGGTCCAGGGTCAACCACGCCTTTAACTCCAGCCCCTCACAGTACTGCCGTCCCATTTCCACACAAAACATCAGCAGCACAGACTCAGGAGACAGCGAGGAGAGCTATGTCCCTATGCAAAACCCAGTGTCTGCATCCCCTGTCCCCAGCGGCACCAACAGCCCAGCTCTGAAGAAGAATACTGGCAATATGGATTACTTGGCCCTAGACCTCCAGCCTGGCTCTCCGGGTCCTCACCACAAGCCATCCACATCATCTGCCACATCGGATGAGAAGACAGATTATGTCCAAGTGGATAAAGAGAAGACACAGGCCCTACAGATCACCACACAGGAGTGGACAGAGATGCGGCAAGAAAAAATTAGGAAAATGGCGCCTGTTACAGGATTTGAGAGAGGTCAGTAAAACTGATGGTCATGGGTACTGCACAACCAGGTTTGCTCACTCTGGTAGGAATTCCGAAAGATTGGTTTTTATTGATCATTGGTTTACATCCTAATGACTGTATGATTTGCCTTTAGTGTGCCCTCCATTAATTTTTTAAAGTTACTTTAATACTAGACAAATTAAAATCTTTGAAATTGCATTAAAACGATACAGCAAGTCTTAGATAGATCGCATCTCACAGCCTATTATTAGGGCATATAAGGTAAGTTTGGAAATCTTTGGGAAAGAACTTGATGTTATTGTTAACCCTTGCAACTCCTCTCAAATTGCCTGGCTACAACAGAATATTGACGATTGGAAATGGAAAGATGGTGAAGGACATGAGGGCCTTTTTCAACCTTTAGTTTTGAATCAAGGATTGACTGGAGCTGTTCTGTCACAACAGATTTTCAGTTAAGGAAGTTTTCATATCAACAAACCAATCATGACCAAGGGAAAAAGGATGACTAAAAGATGTATGTATGTTCTGTGTGTATGGTGTGGCCACACTGGTATGTATGTGTGAATGTTGACAAAAAGAACTGTTTAAATTGCCTTGGATATGATTAAAAGGATACTTAAGTTGCTATGGATATAGTTAAGAAACTACCTAAATTGCTTGAATATAGCCAAAAAGAGCATTCAGCCAGTCAGTGTCTTAACAGGAAAGGTTGACAATTTGAGTCCTCAGAGCCAGTCAGTGGAAAAATAACAGAAGCCTACAACATGGCCTGAGAGCCAAAGAAATCTGTATGGATGATTTTAGTTTAGCAGAGGAGAGGATACAGAAATTCTCCTAAAATTTTCTGGTTGAAAAGAAATCTAGAGAAAAGAAAGGTTTTTGAGAAGTCTCAGAAAAACTGCTGCCCTATTAGACCCCACCTACAAAGGAGTCAGTGTAGATACAAATTAGGCCATGTCAGCTAGCGAGAGCTTTACAAATTGGATTAGAAAGAGTACTCACAAACTTCAAATAATTTTCAAAAGTTATTTGGTACATAGTATAGTTTACAATCTTTGAGTGATTTTCAGAAGTTGTTGGGAAATATTCAATGGTTATGTCCTTTTGAAAGGGAATCTACTAGTGATTTAGATAGTGATCCCAATTCACCTATATAGTTAACTAAGGAGGGTAGACAAGTCCTTCTACTGTTAGGGTATAGTCCAGCATCAACAGATGTTAGCAAACAGTACAAATAAAATTGGTTGCTTTACCTCAGGTAGAGAAAGCCATGCAGTCTTATAACTTTCATCATAAAAATAACAGGAGTTTAAGAAAGCAATTTGGTTTAACTAGAGAGACTGCTCGTCAAAATTGTCAAACAATAAGATGTATCCACAATATTTATCTGTAAATTTAAAAATGAACCCTCGAGTCTCACTTCCTAACCATATATGGCAAATGGTTGTTACTCATATTACAGAATTTGGCAAGTACACATGACAGTTGATAGGTATTCAGGTTTCTTGACAGTCACTGCATAAACTGGAAAAGCCACCATACATGTGTCAAAAAATAAAAACGTGAGGAGTAATGTCCCCAGTCCCCACATGATTCCCTAAATCATGCCCTCCTCATTGTAAAATTTTTAAAATGTGGATGCCAGTGAGCAGTCTGCTGAGCAGTCTGCTGCAGACAGATTCTGGCATGATGGAACTTGAGCGACTTTTGCTCAGGTCAAATGGAGACATCCATGCACTAAACAGTGGAGAAGATCGTAATTTGGGGTCAAGGGCATGTTTGTGTTTGGTTGCAGGAAAAGAGTAAAGTTCGGCAGCTGTCAGAACATCTGGTGAGATGCATGGAGCAGAGAAAAACTGGACCTGAGACCATGGGAGCCTGCCCAAGCCAGTTTGAGCGAGATCCCCTGAACCAGTGTTCCTGACCCTTGATGTCATCGAATCTACAGCCCAAGAAAGAAAGGAAACAGTCGGTTCGAGATTTCCAGTTTCTCAACAGGCCTGCTGCATCAACCTCCCGGACCCGTGAGTTTTCATCCTGGAGCCAATAAAGAACTGGAAGATTAGCAGTTTGCCCTTGACACATCTTGAAACACAGAATTCATTTTGCTAGTTTTTCCCTTTGGGGAAAAAAGGACCCATTTAAAACAGTTGGACACTGGTATGGACCGTGATGAGTGGCAAAAGCCTCTTTTCAGTATTTGAATAGGACATGGCCACTTGAAATATCTGCCTTGGTGTTCCTGTTCCTGGAATTGCACCTGTGCCAGTGTATTTTTCTGGAGAAATGCAACTTGCCCTAATACAGCAGAAAAGACTTTGTCATCACTGCTGGGGTGATTGTAGTTATTGCTGTTGCTGCTACAACTGCCATCTCACAGTCTGTAACTACAGCCAGCACAGCGGATAAACTAACTGGGGAAGCAACAGAGGCTCTCAGCACTCAGAGCTCCTTAAATAACTTAGTCCAGGTAGGAATTTGACATCCTTAAACCTGTTTGCTTACCCTGGCGCACATTTGTGTTACCCCTGCCAAAGTTATAAACTCATCAGTTGGCCAATCAAATTATTAGAATGAATGAGACCCAGGTTCCTCCATTTTCTGGAGAGATCATCCTTAGGGAATCCCAGATGGCAGGCCATGTAATCAAAGAATGGGCTGGGTCCCCATCTCTGGGCCTTGTAGTCATAGGACTTACTATCATATGCTTCATTTGGTTAAGGTGCCTCGGCGCTAGACAAGCCCAGGCTCGAGTTGTCACTCGAGGACCACAGAGAATCCCTCAGCTCGACTACGGTTGAGCCTACAGAAAAATTCGGCGGCCAATGACAGGTGAGACTAAGGGGATGCCAGCCAACCTAAGACAGGAGGGTCATGCAGCCTGGGTGATTTCTCCATTGATGGGTAAGGTTGGCATTAACGTCTAGTCACCTGAGATAGGCGCTAATATATATATATAGAAGGGGGAGCTTTTGGGTTCTAGCCCCCACGGGGTCTCTGTGAGTGGCTGGTCAGCCAACAAGTGCATCCTGTTTTCTAGTCCTGGCTTACTGCCCTGGCCTTGCCCCACTGACATCAACATCCAGCAGGATGAAAACACGCTCTCTTCCACCTGGGGTTTTTCCACTGTGCTATAAGTCTGTGTATAAGACTGTTCCCTCTCTATAAGACCTTTTAGCATTTTCAACACACACACACACACACACACACACACACACACACACACACACACACACACTATTGCAATAAAGGCACGTACACGCATCTTTTTAGCACAAACAACTGGACCTCAGACTTGCTTCCCTGATGCTCTTAATCCATGAGTCCTGCATTTTATTTTTATACATTTAACCTATTTTTTTGGGTTCGCATTCACCGCCTCTAACTTCTACAGAGAGGAAATCCAGCTTGGAGCAGCCCACTACTTCCTTCCACTTTGTGGGTCACTGGCATGGAAGACTAGGCAACTGCCTTTACCTCTAAGACATCCAGAGGGACCTCTTTTGTCTTTAAAAGTTTTTAAAATATACTATTATGTGTATAGATGTTTTACCTACATTTATTTCTGTGCCAAGTGTGTGCGTGGCCCACAGAGGCCAGAAGAGGGCTCCAGATCCCCTGGGACTGGAGTTACAATTGTAAGTGCGTGAAATCGGACATGTATCCTTTGGAAGAGCAACCAGTGCTTAGCCACTAAGCTATCTCTCCAGCCCCGCTGCCCCCTTTTTAAATGCCACATGCCCAGCAGCTTGGGTCCTGGAACCCTGGCTATGCGAGGGGATGAAGAAAGGTCAGGTAGGGATCTCTAGTGCTATGGCTGCAACCTGGAACCTGCGCTATTTATTATGTACAGCATAAGCGTTACTATTCCTTCGTGGTAGGAGGTACCTGTAATGAGTATTCTTAGCCTGTAACATCAGGAGAGGAAGCCAAAGTTGCCAGTCTTTACACACACAAACAGCCACACTGGAACTCTGGAGGAAGGATTTGCAGTTTTGAAGACAGGGTTTCACTGTTTATTCTTGACTGTCCTGAAACTTGTTCCATAGCCTAGGCTGGCTTTGAACTCAGAGATGCACATGCTTCTGCCTTCTGAGTGCATGGATTAAAGACATGCACTACTACTGCCGGGGTCCCTACATTTTCAAGTAAAATATCATGTAACTCAGGCAGTCCTGGAACTCAATATGCATCTAGGCATGCCTGTAACCCTAGCATTGGAGGCTGAGGCAGGAGGATCTCCAATTTCAAGCCAACTTGAACAAAATGAGCAGACCCAGACTCAAGAAAAAAATCCAGTCTAAAATACTGAGGCTAGGAACAGTTAACATGCCTGTGGTCCATGCTATTTTAGATAACCGAAGCAAAATTGCTAAGCTCAGGAATTGGGGTCAGTCTGGGCAATACAGAAACCCAGTCTCAAAAAAGGGGCTAACCCCAAGGATAGTTCAGGGAGAGCATTTGTCTAGGAACTGGAAGCCAGGCAAGGCCCACAAGTCACCTACTGAAATGAGTAACAGAGAATCCTAAGGTAGGAACCAACGAGGCAATGTGCCACTTTATTAGACAGCAGCTGACCCCAGGCCCAAACCCACCCTTTCCAGCACACTACAGGCACAACTAAAGGCCAGCACAAGAAACCTGCTTCCTGTAGTTTGGACCCTGCCCCAGGGGGTGAGGCAGAGGAGTGAGCTGGCCTCACAGAGGCCTCATAAATATTGGCGAGGTCACTTCCGGGGGATGCATGGGTACTGGACAAGGCTGTCTGGGCAGCCTATATCATGCAGCCTCCTGTGTTTGTGGGGACCTAGGCTCAGTATCCAGGCGGCACACGGGGCTGTCGTACACCATCTGCAGGTTCACCTTGTGGCCCACCAGCTCCCGGATGTTGTTGATGCCGTACTTGATCATTGTTGGGCTGAGAGGAGGAACAGTTTGACACTAAGTCAGGTCAGGCTGTCTTTTGCTCCTCACAGGCTTCCGTCTTTCTCAGAATGAGTGTCAAGGTCTTCCCCACAGTGAACAGGAAGTTGTACGGTCAGCCCACACTTGTTCCCATTCCCCTCTGTTCCCACACCCCATGCTCAGTCTAGCCTCAGAGTCTTTGCTCTGGTTGTGCCTTGTGTCTGGCACACCCAGCTAGAGGCCTCCATGAAGCCTTCCTGACCACCTAGTCTCCCAAGTCCTACTTTATACTCTCTACAGCACTTCCTGCCCATCAACACTCTGGCCTTCCGAATTTCCTTACTGGCTGTGTTAGCTGTCTTCCTTCTCCACTATGATTCACGTTGCCTGGTATTGGGGAAACATGCTGTAGTGTTCACAGCTCAGGGCCAGGCACAAAAATTGGGCATTCCTACTAAAGAACTGTCAGAGTCATCCCAATCATGCCAAGTTCCCGCCTGGGCACTCACCGCTCCAGAGAGAGACCCCAAGCGATAACAGACACATTCTCGGGGAGCCCCATAGGCAGGAGCATCTCAGGACGGAAGACCCCAGAGTTGCCAACTTCTACCCACTTCTTTAGACCTGTGAGGGCAAAGGGAGGCTAGAGCACACATGTGGGTGGCACTGCCCACACAGAATGGGAAGATGGGGTAGGAGTGAAGCAAAGACGATGGCCCAGGCCAAATGTGAGGCCCCGCCGACCTCCCTCCCCTCTGTACCCAGTGTCCCCCCGACCTTGGTGGTAGCTGAACACCTCCATGCTGGGCTCTGTGTAGGGGTTGTAGGCTGGTTTGAAGCGCAACTGGGTGATTCCTAGAGGGGTTGACCAAGGCAGGCTGATGACTCCAGAGGCACCCTCTCAGGGACCCCAAACACTTCCTACCGAATGGCTTGCCTGCTCACCCAGCTTGGTGAAGAACTCCCTCAGCACACCCATGAGGTGGCCCAGAGTCAGCCCATGGTCAGCTATCACACCCTCAATCTGGTGGAACTCGGCTAGGTGGGTGGCGTCCAGCGTCTCATTCCGGAACACACGATCGATGGAGAAGTACTTGGCTGGTGTGAAGGGCTTCTGGGGAGGAGGGGTGACAGCCACGTCAGGGTCAGAAGGTCTACAGGACAGCACCACCCGCCCACCCTGACCAGGCCAAGCCGAACCTTCTGAGCTAAGCAGTAGAGGGCTCGGGCACTGGCCGCTGTGGTATGTGTGCGAAGCAGGTTTTTCCGGGCCTCTTCTAGCTTCCAGGTGTACTTGTAGCTTCAAAAGAAAAGGTAAGAAGTCTGCCCTGTGATCCTGGAACCCCAGCCTCCTGCCCCACCCGAGCCCAATCCTGGGTCTGCCTCACCCCTGTGAGCCATAGCCGCCCTGGGAGTGGGTCCGTTTCACCCGCTGGACATAGTCCATTGGGAGCTGCAGGGCCTCAGCGGGATCTAGGCAGGAGAGTCGTGTGGTCAGTCAATGAGCATCTCTAAGAAGCCAGTGCACATGAGTCAGGTATGGCTCCATGAAGCTCCTGTGCCCCAGTGGTCAAGGTACCTGGCACTCCTCAGCTGATGACATCTCCCTCTTCATCCAGAATCCCCACTGGCCCATGCTTTCCTCTTCACTGTGTGAAAAAGCCCAAGATTCCCCCAGAACTGGCCACTATCTCCAGCTACAGTGTTCACATAACTCTCTCCCCTACTTCCTGGTCTTTGCTTAAGCCTTTTTTTTTTTTTTTTAAACTGGGACAGACTGTAGCTCTGGTGGGCCTGGAACTCTGTAGACTAGGCTAGTCTTGAACTTAGAGATCCACCTGCTTCCCCCTCTAGAATGCTGAGATTAAAGGTTCGTGCTACCATACCCAGCTTTGCTTAAGATACACACCCTCCCTATTCCTGCAGGCACACACTAGTATCTCCAGTGGGTCTTAACCCCTGTCCCAGTACACGATTCCTCAGTAACTACCCAGTCAGGAAGTGATCTCCCTAGGGACAGGGACTTATTTTCTACTTAGGGATGACTCAGCTGGCTAGCAACAATCTTGCCATTCAGGAGGGTCTTCAGAGAGGCCTTGCCAAAGACATCTGTGACCTTCCCCCAGTGTGTCCTGGAACCCAGGGTCTTCCTAACGTTTGACAAGTGCTCTAACACTAAGATGCACTCCCAAAAGCAAATGAGAAAAACAATTTTTTCTTCTTTTTTGGGGAATGCAGAATTTCTCCCACTCAGCATCCTGAGTACTGGTGACAGGTTAAGAGCTCCCACACTGAGCTCAAGCATGTGAATTCTTTGGGAATATTAACAACATAGTTTTGGTACTTGATCATAACTCTTTAGTATGTACGAGCTGTGCAGCCCTAGGCAAGTGATATTCTTTCTGTGCCTACATTTCCTCAATTGTAAATGAGGGGCTAACAGAAACATTTTCCTTATTTGAAAGGTTTGCAGAGGAGTAGATGAGGTTTGGGTGTCATGACAACAGCAACATCACTGCTATTAAGTTGGCAATGAGCACCTAGAGAGCTCATCTGCTCACCTCGGCGGAGCAGACCCCTGTGTGAGAAGTCCCCACTTCAGCGGGATTAAGGACAGTGAAACAGAAACTAAATGGGTCGGCCTGTGACCAGTGACAGGGAACCTGCTAGAATTCAGGAGATCCTGGGTTCCATTCCTAGCAGCAACAGCACACACACGGAGGAAACAAATAACTAGTCACGGTGGCTCACATTTGTAATCCCGTCATGCTGGAGGCTTGAGGCAGGAGGACCAGACTGACATCAGTCATGACTACATAGTGACTTGCAGGCCAGCCTAGGCTACAGAGTGGGAGCCTGTCTCAAAACAAAACAATCCAAAATTGAAAGGCAAGAAGGTCTTAGCACTTCAGAAGCTGAGGCAGGAGGACTGTCATGAATTCAAAGCCAGCCTGGACTACAGTGGGAGACTCTATCTGAGAAAAACAATAACGAGAGACAGACAGACAAGAGTGACAAAGAGACAGACAAGGAGGAGGTAATGGACATCTGCAGAACTAAGGACAACATGCTTCTATTTAAAGGTTTTTTTATTTTTCAATTATGTATATGCCTGTGTATCTGTATGTGAGCACATGCACACGAGTTTGGGTGCCTGAGGAGCCCAATAGGAGCTAGAGTTGGAGGCTATTATGAGCATCCAACATGGATGCTGGGAACTAAACTAGGGTCGTCTGCAGAAGCAGCAAGTGCTCTTAACTGCTGAGCTTTTTCTCTAGCTCACATACATGCCTCAGTTTAGTGAAAGGGGAAGTGACAGCATCAGGTGGCATTTGGTTATTTATTTATACCATACCAGAGACAGCAAGGACCCAGTTTCCCATATGTTCTAAGCAAGTGCATTAAAAATTTGAAATACTAGAGAGACAGAAGCAGGTAGATCTTTATGAGTCTGAGGCCAGCCTGTTCTACATGGTGAGTTCTGAATAAAATAAGATGTCCATTCTCTGTGGCATATGCCTTTAAGCTCAGCTTTAGCAAGGCAGAGGGAGGGAAACCCCTGTGTTTCCAGGTCAGCCTCGTCTACATGAACTCCAGGTCAACCTTCCCCTCTAAAAAAAAAAAAACCTGGCCAGGCGGTAGAGGCACTCGCCTTTAATCCCAGCACTTGGGAGGCAGAGGCAGGAGGATCTCTGTGAGTTCAAGGCCAGGCTGGTCTACAAAAACACAACACAGACAAAGGTTCCAAGGCAGCCTGGCATGCTGGTAGCAGGGAGCAGGCACAAAGGAGAGAAATCCCTGGGGAGTGGGACTGGCCGCCAGGTCTTGCTGCCTACACTGAGGTCATTTTATGAAATGAGATACCCCCTTCCTTAAGACTTTCCCCAGGCCTGGGACCTGTGCCACCACCTTGGCCAGGCTCCCAGGCTACCCACCTTTTAGGAAGAATGTATCATGTTGGTCACGTGCTGGGTGCTGCTGAGGCTGGAAGAGTGCATCAAAGTTCCAGAAAGAGCTCTCAATGAAATTGTCTGTAGGCATCTCAGTGAACCTGCAGGAGACATGGACTGAGGGCCCTGCCTGTGCCGATAGCTGCCACGCCCCACCCTCGGTCCTGTGCTCACCCCATCTCCAGGAAGATCTGTCGGAACTGGGAGCGGACCTTGAGCAATGGGTGCAGGTGGCCACTGTCTGGGAGCACACCCCGGGCAGAGAAGTTATAGGGCTTGAAGGGCCGGTCCCTCCAGGAGCCGCTGTGGGGAAAGTCAGGTACAGAGGCATGAAGAGGGCTGTCCAACCCTCCCTCACAGCCTCTACCCTTCCCTACCCTACCTGGAGATCATCTCGGGGCTCAACTCTGCCTCCTGCTTAGATACGCTTGTGCTGAAGGCCTTGCCCTTGCTCACCCAGTAGGTTTTCAGGGTCCTGTGAACAGAGGAAGAGAAGGGACATTGCTGTCACCTTGAGATCCTTCCCTTGATCTTCCATTGGGTGCTAATACCAGAACCAACCATGGAGTCACTCTAGTTTTAGGTTGTTTGTTGTTGTTTTAAAGGACTTCATGTATCCCAAACTGACCTGGAATTTGCTATATAGTCAAGAAACATCTTAAACTCCTGCTTCCACCTCCTATATGCTGGAATTAGTTTATGTGGCACCAAGGATCAAACTCAGAGCTTAGTGCATACTAATCAACCAAGCTACATCCCCAGAACCTGCTCTACTTATTTTTATTTGTTTTTGTCTAGAGACGGTCATGTTACATAGGGAAGACTGAGATTAAAGGCTTCAGGTATTGCATTCCACAGTGTCCTTATTGGGTTTGCCTTTGTTTTTAAATAAAATGACATTATGGAGTCATGACTGGCCTGGCTTAGGACTGTTCTATAGACCAAGCTGGCCTTAACTCACAGAGATGCATTTGTCTCTGCCTCTGTGCTGGGATTAAAGGCGTGCACCATTATGTCTAGCTGCTTTTTTCTCCTTGTGGTAGACATCAACCCAGGGTCCTTGGGCATGCCAGGCAAGTATCCTAGAACTGAACTAAATCACCGGTTTTGTTTTTATTTATGTGTATGGTATATGTCTGTATAAATGTGTATCGTGTGTGTGGGTGCCTGTGGAGGCCAGAAGAAGGTATCGGATCCCCTGGAACTATTCCTAACAAGGGTCCTGGAGCTAGAGTGGCACTAGAACTACCCAACATGGGCACTAGAAATCTAACATAGGTTTCTATAAGAGCAGCAAGTGCTCTAAACCAGAGTCATCTCTCCAGCTTTTAGATACCATTATCACACTCACTTGTGTGTGTAGGCATGCATAGGCTGCAGCTTGTATGCAGAGGTCAGAAAACAACAATCATTTCTTCCATTCTACTATGTGGGTCTCAGTGGTGGTGGTGTGAATGTCATCGGCCCCCATAAGCTCATAGGGAGTGGCACTATTAGGAGGCATGGCTTTGTTGCAGTGAGTAATGGCCTTGTTGGAGAAAGTATGTCACTCTGGAGGCAGAGATAGGATACTTCCCAGTGTCTCAGTTGACTTTCTGTTGCCAGAAGACATAGAACTCTCAGCTACTACTCCAGCACCATGTGTGCCTATGCTGCACGCTCCCCCAGCATGATAATGGACTACACATCTGAAACTGTAAGTGAGCCACCCCAATTAAATGTTTTCTTCATAACAGGTGCTGTGGTCATCATGTCTCTTCACAGCAACAGACACCCTAAGACATCAATCAGGCGTGGTGACAAGCATCTTTGGCCATGAGTTACTTTGCTGGCCTTCTTTTTTGTCTATTCTGACTGTAGCCCAGGCTGGCCTTGAATGCCTGATCTTCCTTCCTTCATTCTGCTTTATCTATTGTCTTGAAACTGTCATTTGAAATTTTCTTATGGGACCACTACCCATCTACTCGTTCATGCATTCATTCACTGTATAAGAAACACTGAGAACCTAATTTGTGCCAGGGTCCATTCAGGCAGTGATGCATTCAGATGGGCGTGGTGACATTAGGAAAGTACTGAGGGTTATTTTGGGTCAGGATCTGTTACTTCACAACCCTAAGACAAGGGATTTTATAAGTAAGGAAGCTGAGGCTGGGGAAGACCAAGTGAGTTGGCCAAGTTGTAAACTTTAGCTAACCAACTGCAGAGCCTAGATTTCCACCAGCAGTCAGTGTACAACCCCAGGCTTTAGGGTCTGTAAGCAGGCTTTGCTTTGTATGCCAGGATGGCCTGGAACCCTTCTGTCTCCGCTGTACAAGTATGCAGCACCAAATCTGGCTCAGTGTGGCCTGTCTTGGGTGACACATGAGCGGGAATTTAATTGGCTGACTGCCTGGAAAGGTACACAGGAAGCCTTTCTCAGCCGCAGGTGCAGCAACAGCAAAAGGCCCTGGACTGCCTGAGCCCAGCACACACATTAGGGGCTAGGTTCACACCTCTATCCTGCACGGAGGAGGTACAGACCAGCAGATCTCTGCCAATTCCAGGCTAACCTGAACTACATAGCGAACTTCAGGCTAGCCAGGGCTACATGGAATGTCTCAAAACCAAGGAACCAAACAGTTAAACAACAGTAACAGAACCCCGCATAAATGGGTGTGTCTGGCAAGGACTGAGGGCAGCAGCAAGTGGATACGGGCTAGGCGGCTCCCTTCCTTCGCTCCCACAGCACCACACAGGTAAAGGGGCTTAGGCACTGCATTTACGCACACTTCAGTCAACAGCTTCCTCTTCCGGAGCTCATTCCTTTCCTTTTCAGCCAGCTTCTCAGCCTGGCCTGCTTGGACCAGCTGCAAGCGCCTCTGTACTTCATCCTCTATGCTGTCCACCTGTCAAGAGGCAAAGGGAATGAGGGCTAGCGTCTGCCCCGCTAACCCTCCTATCTGCCTCCCGCCTGCCTCCAGGACTTACCACTTGGAACACCCGGGGCCCATCAGCTGTACTCTTGTCCACTCGGATCCACTTGTTGGACATGGCTTTGCTGAAGCCCACCTTGCCACTGGGCAGTCGCTGGGGAAGTGGGATCGTGATGAGTGCTGTGTGCAGGGCTACCTGCATCCCATTCCCCCCTGGACCCCAGCCCTGGGCCTACCATGAGCTCACTCTGCACCAGGCCCTCGAGAGGGATGCTTCTAAACACACGGGCCTCATGGCTGCCCTCCCGGGCAATCTCCTCGCCCTCAGCAGTCAGCTCCCAGCACTTGGTGGAACGAAGCTCAGCCTCAATGACCTGCAAGGAAACAAGCGACACTGTGTGTGTGGTTCAAAGCCACCCCCACCCCACAGCACTGGGACAGAGTCAGGGACAGCTCAGAGCTGGGGCAACCTCAGCAGTCAAGAGCGTATGTTGCTCTTACAGCACATTGATGTGGGATACTGCTCTTGTACACTGTAAAGATTTGTCACTCATATGGGTAGTCATGCAGGAAGTATACGCGGGGCTACCAGACTAGGAGAATGCTGGGAAGAGGAAGGCAGAGACACAGAAGAAGAGATGAGAGAAAAGGTACCAAGCCACATGGCTAAACATAGACAAGAATTATGGGTTAATTGTAAGAGCTTGTTAGTGATAAGCCTGATCAATAGCCAAATAGTATATCATTAGTATAAGCCTCTGTGTTTATTTGTGATTGAACAGCTGCAGGAAACGTCGGTCTACACCACATAGGGTGGCTCATAGCCACCTCTCACTCTAGTTCCTGGGAATCTAACTTCTCCAGTTTCCTGGAGCATTTGCACTCACCTGTACATACACATACAAACACAAGCATATAAATAAAATAAAGCCATTAATGATAGAGCACACCTTTAATCCCAGCATTAGAGAGACAGAGGTAGGTTGATCTCTGTGAATTCAAAACAAGCCTGGTCCACATATCAAGTTTTAGGGCAGTCAGAGACAAAATGAGACCCTACCTCAAACATAAATAAATTAGGTTGAATAGTGGTACACTCCTTTAATCCCTGTACTCAGGAGGCAGAGGTAGGTGATCCCTAAAGCCAGTCTGGTCTACAGAGTTCCAGCACAGCCAGGGCTACACAGAGAAACCCCGTCTTGATTAAAACAAAACAAAAATAATAAATTAAATTAAATACAAAGGGCAGCCTCAAAGCTATGTTACAAATCAACTCAACTATACTATTTTCCATTGGATGGAGGAAAAGACAAGGGGGGGGGCAATTTTCATTCAGGATCTTGCTTTGTCAAATATCCCAGGAGGGATTCAAACCCCTGGATCTATGTAATCTTCCTGCCTCATTTTCCCCGGTGTTGGAACTATAAACATATCCTAATGTTCCTAGCTGGAACAATTCTTTTTTCAGATTCATTCAATTTGTTTTTTTTTTTTTTTTTTTTTTTTGGTTTTACGAGACAGGGTTTCTCTGTTTTGGAGGCTGTCGGTCCAGCCTGGCCTCGAACTCACAGAGATCCACCTGCCTCTGCCTCCCCAGTGCTGGGATTAAAGGCGTGCGCCACCAACGCCCGGCCAATTTGTTTGTTTTTGAGGCAGAGTTTCTCTATATAACTCCAGACCATCTTCAAACACTTCAGAGAACTACAGAATATGGCATTTAACACGTTTTAATAACGTAGGTTCTTTTTTTTAAATGACAATGAGGCATGTCTGCTCCTGGCAGCACCAATCTACATCAGAGAAGATGATGGGCATCGAAGGAACTCAAGTTCTTTGGGGTAAAGGTAAGCCACTGGGCAAGAAAGTACCCTTGCCTCAACTGCTGAGTTTAAGGCTAGCCTGATTTACATAGTAGGTTATAGGATAGCCAGGGCTATGTAAAGAGACCTGTCTGAACAAACAAAACAAAATAAAAATAAAAAAACCCACTGGGGCTGGAGACTTGGTTCAGTGGTTAAGACCACTGACCACTCTTCCAGAGGACCCGGGTTCAATTCCCAGCACCCACATGGCAGCTCACAGCTGTCTAACTCCAAGACCCACCACCCTCACACAGATGGACATGCAGGCAAAACACAAAAGCACACAAAATAGAAACAAATAATTTTTTAAAAAATAATAAAAACCCACAAAAAAAAAAAGTGGGCTGGAGAGGCGCTTCAGTGGTTAAGAACAATAGCTCTTGCAGAGGAACCAGGTTCAAATCCCAGCACCTCTATGAAGTTCACAACCATTTGCAACTTAAGTTCCAGGGGAATCCAATACCCTCTTCTGGCCTGCTCCGCAAGCAGGGATACACACACACACAAAAAAAATACAACTAATGAACAAATTGTAAAAAGTTGAGGCAGGTATTAAAAGCGTGAGCCTTTCATTTCAGCCTTCTGGAGGTAAGTGGATCTAAGTTGGAGGCCAGCCTGATTCACTGAGCAATTTCCGGCACAGTCCGGTGCTCCACATAAGGGGTACAGCTTTTGACTAGCGCGCAAGGAGACCCTGATATGGAGATGGATGGGGATGAGGGGACCTACAAGTCTATGCAATTCTGCCCCGATGGTCACGGTGGCCAGTAACACCGATACCAACGCCTGGGCACTCGTGTCTTAAGTGCCATCCTTTTCCTACCCCGGACTGACTCAGTTATGTCCACCGGACGCCGGCTCTCTATCCCCAGGTCAACTGTCGCAGCTGGTTGAGCCTTCACTTCACCCAGGTATTAGATTGCAAGCCCTTTCCAGGCAGCGACCTCGCCTAGTCACACCCTACGTGCGCCACGCTCTCCCCTTCACAGGCACTGGTTGCAGATTTCCCCCACGGTGCGCCTCTGTGCAACCTCCCCTCACCAGCCCTAAGGGCTACGGGTGTAAAAGCCAGGCGGGCCGGCGGCCGCGCGGAGCTCACCTCGCCCAGAGCCTGCAGGCTCTTCACGGCGCCCACCACCACCTGGTGCTCCACGCCCAGCTGCGTAGCCAACTCTGCGCTGTCCAGGCCGCCATCCGCTGCCTCCAGCCGCCGCAACAACAGCTCCAACACAGGACTGTCGGCCATCGTGTGGTGGCTCCCGGGATGCTTGGAGCGTGCGGGCCCGCCGGACGGACTGGGGACCCGGAACCGGAACCGCGAGGTGCATGAGCCGCCATTTTTAATGTGGCGTACAGTGCGAATGGGGGGCTTGCCGTCGCCATCTTCAGTGTGGCAATTAAGCCTCAAGTGAAACTAAGGCATTCGGGATGCTGAATGTAGTTTCGCCCCAGAGGCCTTTAGTTAACCAGTGAGGTAAATTTGATGACTTGGAGATCAAAAGTAGCTTTCTTTTATTTGTTTTTTTATGTTTGTTTTATACCTTGAGACAGGTCTTATCTAGCAGAGGCTAAGCCTTGACCTCCTAATCTCCTTGCATCTCCCAAGTGCAAGGATTACAGAGAAATTCTATAAGGCCTGACTGATCCTCCCCCATAATTTTCTCATTTTAAAAAATTATTTTTGCCGGGCGTTGGTGGCGCATGCCTTTAATCCCAGCACTCGGGAGGCAGAGGCAGGTGGATCTCTGTGAGTTCGAGGCCGGGCTGGTCTACAGAGCGAGTTCCAGGTCAGCCTCCTGAACAGTACAGAGAAACCCTGTCTCGAAAAAAAAACAAAAAAAAAGTTATTTTTATGTGCACTGTTGTTTCACCATGGATGTTGGGTCCCCTGGGCCTGGAACCACGGTTATGAGCTGCCATGTGGGCGCTGGCAATCCAACCCAGGTCCTCTGCAAGAACAGTCGGTGCTTTTAACCACTGAGCCGTCTCTCCAGCCCCGGTTCCTCATAATTTTAATGCAGCCACCAGCAGTAGGCTCAGATCGCTGCACCTTCTAGAATTCTCAATCTCAAGGTAAAGCACTGGGTGGTGGGCTTCAGGTATGGTCATTCTATCGACATTTTTTGTTTTTAGATTTATTAGTTTCATTTTGTGTGTTTTGTCTGTATATATGTCTGTGCACGATGCCCCAGGAGCTCAGAAGAGTCATCAGATCACCTGGCACTGAAATTATGGATGGTTGTGAACCACCGTGTGGGTTCTGGGAACTGAACCGTGGTCCTCTACAAGAGGACTTAACGACTGAGCCACCTTTCCAGCTGCCGACTCTGCTGGTGTTAATTATTCCCTTAAAATGTCAAAGGAAATACGATTAGGGACCATACCCATTTAGGGAAAAGGGATTCACCCAGGAACAGTTACAAAGTGTGCTGGCTTTCATGAAATACGTCCGGTTTTTTTAAAGATCACCCCAAATTCATAATATAGTTACTATATAAACCTTCCACTTCACGGGAGGGAAAATGAGGCTTAGAGGCAAAATTGGCAACCAACAGAGAGTTGATGGATACAGCCAGAATTCTGCATAGACCCTCTGCTGCCACACTTGCCTGTGCTCTCAGATCAAGACAGTGGTATCAAATCGATGCTTCTTTAAAACTGTGGGTCCCATCCATGTGGGGTCCTGTGACTCAATATAGGGCTTACAAACAAACAAACAAACAAACGGGCAATAGCAATAGCAGGTTTCCGAATGTTCAGTGACCAGAACTAACTCAGAGCTCCAGGCAGTGACCACGGTGCATCAGGCAGCACCGGGGCAGGCTGACCTGTGCTATCCCTGCATCCTTGGTCCTTTGCATGCTCTCGTTTTGTGACAGGGTCTCAATATGTATATGTTCATGTGTGAATGTAGGTACTTGCATACCGCTACACACATGTGGAGGTCAGGGGCCACCTTTTGGGTCTCAGTTAACCCCTTCTACCTTGAGGTGTAATTTAGTTCCTCAGGCTTTGGCAACAATGCTTCCACCCGCCAGGCCCTCTTAGCAGCCCTAGCCTTGGTTCTGAACACAAAACGTGGACACTGTGGTGTCACCCCACACACACAATGCTCAGTAGGTACTTCCTGGGACGGGGGAGGGGGGGGTGCAAGGTGTTAGTCCCTGAACTCAGGAGGCAGAGGTAGGTTAATCTCTGTGAGCTCGAGGCTAGCCTGATCTCAGAGTGAGTTCCAGGAAAGCCAGGCTACAGAGAGAGACCTTGTCTTGAAAAAAAAAATTGAAAAGAAAATAAATAAAATATAATAATAAATAAAAAATACTGCATAATACCAAAACTTGGGGATAGAGAAATGGCTCAGTGGTTAAGAGCACTGACTGTTCTTCCAGAGGACCCTGGTTCAAGTCCCAGCACCCACATGGCAACTCACAACTATGTGTAACTCCAGTTCCAGGGGACCCTACACCATCACACAGACATATATGGAGGCAAAACACCAATGCACATAAAATAAAAAATAAGTCACTTAAAAAAATACCAAGGGGGCTGGAGAGATGGCTCAGAGGTTAAGAGCACTGACTGCTCTTCCAGAGGTCTTGAGTTCAATTCCCAGCAACCACATGGTGACTGACAACCATCTACAATTCAATCTGGTGTATATGTAATAAATAAATAAATCTTTTAAAAAAATACCAAAACTTTCCCATGTTTCAGACTATACTGTTTTCTGTGTTTTCACTATTGTACAAAGTTTTCTGTTCTGGTAGGCACATAATGTCTTGGCATGGGAAACAGGGGCCTTTAAAAGATTTTAATTTTTTATTATTTCAAATTAATTGTAGGCATGTGTGTTTGCACATGCATGAGAGTGCAGGTGCCCATGGAGCCAGAGGCATGGGATCCCAAGAGCTCCAGTTAGTTGGTTATGAGTCACCTGACATGGGAGCTGTGCACTCAGTGCTAGTCCTCTGGAAGAGAAGTGCTCTTAACCACTGAGCAATCTCTCCACCCCTGGTTTGTTTATTACAGGCTGGCCTGGAACTCACAGAAATCTACTCTACTCTACCAGGTGCTGTACTAAGGACATGCATCATACCTTGTGATTTAGCTTATTTCTTTTTTTTTAAACATTTAAAAGGTTTATTTATTTATTTATTACATATACACTGTTCTGCCTACATGCCAGAAGAGGGCACCAGATTGAATTGTAGATGGCTGTGAGCCACCATGTGGTTGCTGGGAATTGAACTCAGGACCTCTGGAAGAGCAGTCAGTGCTCTTAACCTCTGAGCACTCTCTCCAGCCCGATTTATCTTATTTCTGTGTGTATGGAGATAGGTGCACATGAATGCAGGTGCCCGCCAAGGCCAGGGGCATTTGGTCCCCTGGAACTAGTTACAGATAAAGTTGTGAGTTTCTCAATACGGATGCTAGAATCTGAACTTGAGTCCTCTGCAAGAGCAGCAAGCTCCCTCTGATTTATTTTTATAAGTGTCTTGCCAGCCAGCCAGGTGGGTGGTGGCACACGCCTTTAATCCCAGCACTGGGGAGGCAGAGGCAGGCAAATCTCCGTGAGTTCCAGGCTAGCCTGGTCTACAAAGGGAGTTCCAGGACCAGCTCCAAAGCTACACAGAGAAACCCCTGTTTCAAAAAAACAAAACAAAATAAAACAAAACCACTTGCATGCAGTGCCAGGAGATGCCAGAAGAGGGCATCAGATCTTCTGGAACTAGCAGTACACACAGTTGTTAGCCACCATGTGGGTACTGGGAAACAAACCCAGGTCCTTTGCAAAAACAACAAACAGGCTGAATTACTGTGCCATCTCTTCAACTCAAGAAAACCCCTTCCTTCCCTTCCTTCCTTCCTTCCTTCCTTCCTTCCTTCCTTCCTTCCTTTTTTCAAGATGGGGTTTCACTGTGCAGCCCTGGCTGTCCTTGAACTCACAAAGATGCACCTGCTTCTGTCTTCCAAATTCTGGAGTTAAAGACATGGGCCACAAACAACTTTTAAATTTTTCCTATCATTGTGCAGTACATAGCAAATCAGTGTACCTTTGATTATATTGTGTTAGAAGTCTTCATTTTTAAAATTGTTCTTTGGGCCGGGCGTTGGTGGCGCACGCCTTTAATCCCAGCACTCGGGAGGCAGAGGCAGGCGGATCTCTGTGAGTTCAAGGCCAGCCTGGTCTACAAAGTGAATTCCAGGACAGCCTCCAAAACAATACAGAGAAACCCTGTCTCGAAAAACCAAAAAAAAAAAAAATTGCTCTTGGGGGGCTGAATAAATCGGTGAGAGAGTAAGATCATAGGATGCTCTTCCAGAGGACCCAGGTTTAGTTCCCAGCACCCACATGGTGGGTCACAGCTATCTGTAACTCCAGTTCACAGGGCTCAGATGCCTCAGAGGTCAGAAGAACGTACTGGATCCTATATAGCCAGAGGTATATATTGAGACCTTGTGCTCAGAGTTGGAATACAGACTGCCTTTCAGGGGCTCTGGGACCTCCTCGCTTACAGTCACCTAGCATGCAGTGTTCACACCCCTCTCAAAGCCCATTTTAGTGTGTTTACATCCACCCATGATGGAGACCCTTTGTGCGCTCTGAGCGCAAAACCACCCTAATTAAGGTTAATCACAACAGGACACTAGGTAAGATTGTAGCAGGCTTTCTTAGACCACCAGCCCCCAAATCATGACACAGAGACTTGTTATTATGAAAGTTCTGCCTTAGTTTAGGCTTGGATTTTTTGTTGTTTTGTTTTTGGAGACAGGGTATCTCTGTAGCTTTGGAACCTGTCATGGAACTCACTATATAGATCAGACTAGGCTCAAACTCACAGGGATCCACCTACCTCTGCCTCCAGGGTGCTGTGATTAAATGCATATACCACCACCGCCCAACTGCCACTAGCTCTTCTAACTTAATTGCACCTGCTTCCTTCATCTACATTCCCTTGGGACTTTTTACCTTTCATTCTGTGTGTTCCACTTCCTCTGCATCTTGCTGGCTGTCTGGTGGCTGCCTGACTTAGCTGGCTCTGGGCATCTCTATCTCTTTCCTCCTTGTCCCCTAGCCTAGATTCTTCCTCCTATTTATTCTCTCTGCCTGCCTATCCCTCCCCAGTCTACCTATTAGCTATTATTAGGTGATACTAAAATATCAGCTATTCAGTTTTTTATCAGATCAATTAGGTACCCTGGGCAGGCAAGATGAAATAGCAATATATCTTTACCTAGTTAAATGTAGCATAAACAAAAGAACAATTGTTAAGTAAGAATTATATTTCACAAAAAAAGAAAT